ATTTCAATTGCATTTTTCTTAATTTTATTGCTTGTCCTTACTTCCCCATTATTGAGAGTGTTTGGAAATAAAGAAATGACTAAGATATTCTGGAAATAAAGAAATGACTAAGATACTGTTTATTCTCTGAAGGTACTCACTGTGTAAACATGGCAAGAGCTGTAAAAATAAATAAATGCAATATCCTGAGGTGACATTGAAATCTGGTGAAGAGGATCAGAAGAAGTTGACTCTTCAATGGGAGGTTAGTGAAGGCTTCACAGACAAGCCTATAGTTGTACTGAACCTTAAAGGAAGTGTTGGAACTCTTCCAGGTGGACAAGGGGTATGAAACCTCCAGGATGATACAGCAGAGGAGGAATGTGGGGTTAAGCTATAAGGTGTGTTTATGAAATTACAAATATTTCTTAATATCTGACCAACAGTCTGATGCAGGGGATGCAAAGAGAAACATAAGCTTGGCCAGGTAGGCAGGAGTCAGATTAACAAAGAACTTTATATTTTGGCCACAAAATTGATATTTAATTCTAAAATTAGTGGCGAGTAAATGCAAGTTTTACATAAGGGCATGGCCATAATTAGGGCAGGCCTGTGGAAAATTCACTAGAGCCAATGTGAGGACCAGATCACTGCTGTGAAAATGTGAGATGATGAGGGATGGACATAGCTCAGAGGTAGTAGGGGTAGGATGAGAGAAACAGGTCTGTGAGGGATAGAAAAACAAAATGTATCCAAAAATGTGTTTTTTACTACTAGAAAAAATATTAGGCACTTTCTACTTATTATTTTATTTAAATCTTTCAAAAGCTTTATGCAGTCGGCATCATGATACTGTTTCATGGCTGGAGCAGGTGAGATTCACAGCAGTAATGTTGCCTGTCCGAGGTGCACAGTGGGATCTGGAGTCACCGTCAGAGCTTAGCACTTCCAAGGCCTTTCAATTTACTAATACTTTACATTTTCAATAAACCTCTTTTTTAAACAGGTGTGCATTTACAGAAATGATGCTAAGATAACGCAGATAGTTCTCATAAGCCCCATTCCCAGCTTCTACTATTGCTGACATTTCCCACCCTGGGTTCTCCATTAAGTCTTCATTTCCCTGTTACCTCTCTTGGCTGTGACAGTTTCTGACTTTCATTGTTTCTGCAGGCCTTCATAGTTTTGAGGAGTATTGGTCAGGTGTTTTGTTTGGTAAAATGTTCTTTGATTTGAATTTGTCTGATGTTTTTCTCGTGATTAGACTGGGATTATGCATTTGCAGCAGGAAGACCAGAGAGGTAAATTGTCATTTTCATCACGTCATAGGAAAGATACACACTGTGAACATGAGTCATCACTGTTGATGTTGGTCAGTTGGCTGAGATAGAGTTTGCCAGGTTTCTTAGCTGTAGCGTTGCACTCTAATTTCCCTCCCTCACTGTGCTGTTTTCAGTCCACATTTCAGGAATGGAGAGTTATCCTCCACCTTTTTGAGAGTGGAATATCTACATGAATTATTGGGATTCTTCTGTACAGGAGACATTTTTCTTCTTGTTTGTTTATTTATACAGTCTTTTATTTATACTGTTGCATTCATTGGTATTTACTATATTCTTTGTCTTGTAATCCAATACTACTTTCTTTGTTGCTTATTGTTCCAACTGTGGCCACCAACAGCTCCTTCAATTAGCAGATGTGTGTCTTTGGCATACTCCCATCATTCTTGGACTTTTTGAGGAGGGATCACTTCATTACTTTCTTAGACTACAAGATGCTACGGACTCACTTTCTTACATTTCCTGCCCCAGTCCTGGAATCAGTCATTTCTCCAAGGAGCCCTGTTACCTCTTACTGGAACTTGGTGTTAGAATCAAGATCTGGGTTCTGGGTATATTTGTTGCTCCCAGGGCCTCTAGACCCTCTCAACTAACATGGCAAAGAAACATGTCTGTATACTAACCTGTGTGTATGCAGATATCTATAAAAGTATCTATGTGTAACCATCTGTATCTGTGTTAAGCTAAAATAAGTTCATGCTCATATCTTAACCCTAATGTATTATCACACAGGTCATTCTAGACTCCTCCCCTTGTTTATCTTTAAAGTCCCACTCCAGAAGTGATAACCCTGCTTCCACCATCCACCATCTGTTTAATTAATTGTTCAATTTCAGTATATAGGTATAAGAGTATTACCATTGTTAACAATATCCTCTAGGATGCAACTTTATCGACTCTAGTTCCGTGCTTCTATACAGTTTCATTTGCCTTTATTTTTGCAGACTCTATCCAATTCCAAAGGCACTTTCCCCCCACCCTCTTCATTTAGGTTGTTTTATACGTCTGCAATACAACTGGAATGTTTTTTTCACATTCTGAATTCTGTTAGGGATTCTCTCAACTCCCTAACTGATTTTTTCAGTTTGCGTACATCTTTTTCACTCTCCATGCTGTAAAATTCAACGTGTTATGCCCACAAATGCTGTGTGTCATGTATCCACATTTACATTATCACGCAGAATAATTTCACTGCACTAAAATTTTCCCTGTGTTTCATCTCTCCAACCCTCCTTCTCTACCACTGTACACTGTACACTGTACACTGTACTTCTCTGTACACTGGCCTTTTTCTGAATGACCTATAATTGGCATTATACAGAATGTAGCTTTTTCAGACTGGCTTACTTCACTCAGATATAAGCTTTTAAGATTCATCCATGACTTTTGTAGATTTATAGTTTATTTTTAAATCTGTGAATAATAATCCATTTTATAGATGTACCACATTTTCTCCCCCCTTCACCCTTCACCTGTTTAAGGACGTCTTGATTTCTTCCAGTGTTTGGAGATTATGAATGAAGCTACTATAGACATTTACATGTGAGTTTTTTTGGTGAATATTAGTTTTGAAATTAATTAAAAATACCTAGAATTGCAATTGCTGGATTGTATGGTAAGAATGTGTTTAACTTTATATGAAACTGCCAAGCTGTCTTCTAATATGGTTGTACCACTTTGCATTCCCACTAGCAATGGATGAGAGTTTGTATCGCCTCACATTTGTATTGTCCCACAACTGTTGCATTTTAAGAGATTTTAAAATATTTTTGATCCAAGTTCTATATCAGATATGTGTTTTTCAAATATTGACTGCTAGTATCTGACCTGTCTTTTGGTTCTGCCACAGTGTCTTTCACAGAGCAGGAGATTTCAATTTCATAAACTTCAACCTATCAATTTTTCATGTGTGGATCATGTTTTTGGTGTTGAAGGTAAAAATGTATCTCCTAACTCAAGGCCACCTAGTTTTCTCCTACATTTTTTTCCCAGGTATTTTACACTTTGTAGTTTATACTTTGGTCTAAGATCCCTTGGATTTAATTTTTGAAAAAGGTATAAAGAATGTGTCTAAGTTCATTTTTATTTTTTTATATGAACATCCAATTGTTCCTGCACTAGTTTTTGAAAAGACTATCTTTTCTCCATTGAAATGCCTTGGGATCTTTGTCAATGATCCGTTTACTGTATAAGTGGGTCTATTTTGCTCTATCTTTTCTGTTCCACTGATATATATTTCTATTCTTTCAACAAGCCTTATAGTGAGTCTTGAAATTGGGCAGGGTGAGCCCAATTTCTTTCATTATTGTGTTGCCAACTCTAGGCCTTTTGCTTTTTCATGTAAACTTTAGAATCACTTTGTAAATCTCTAATTGAGTAGACTTCAAGGTTTTCATTGGGATTGCATTGAATATATAGATCAAGTTTGAAATAATTGACATCTTAACTCTATTTAGTCTTCCATTTAATCAACGTGGGATAGCATCTCTTTTATTTAGCTCCTTTTAGATTTCTTTCCTCAGAGTTTAAAAGTTTTCTGCATATAGATCTTGTACATTTTTTGTTAGATTTCTATCTAGGTATATAATTTTTTGAGGGGGTGTTATTTTAAATGAGAATATTTTTATACATTTCTCATCCCAACTTGTTTTTGTGGGCATATAGGAAGCATCTGAATTTTGTATAATTACCTGTATCCTGTGACCTTGCTATACTGGTTTTAAAGAGTCATTTGCCTGGATATTTAGGATTCTCCATACAGAGATTCGTGTCATTTGTGAACAAAGATGATTTTATTTCTTCCTTCTAAATCTGAATTTATTTTCTTTTTTTGTCTTACTATACTAGCTAGGATATCCAGTTCAATGTAGTTTAGGAGTGGTGAGATAAGACATCCTTGTCTTGTTCCCATTCTTAAGAATAAAACGTCCTGTTTCCCCCTAATATGGTGTTAGGTTTAGGATATATGTCGATGTACTTTATCAAGTTGAGGAGGTTCCCCTCTAGTTCTACTTTGCTGAGAGTTTGTATCATGTATTGGTGTTGGATTTTCTTAAATGCATTTTTTCTGTCCAATTTATAAGATGATATGAATTTTCTTCCTTAGCCTATAATGTGACAGATAACAGTGATTTAATTTTGGAATTCTGAAGCAACCATGCATTCCTGGAATAAATCCCACTTGTTCAGGGTGTATGATTTTCATTACACTGTTGGATTCAACTTGCCAATATTTTGTCAAAGATTTTACACTTACATTCATGAGAACTATGTTCTTCAGTTTTCCTTTATTTTAATCGTTTTATCTGTTTTTGCTTTTAGCGTATTTCTAGCCTCATAGAATGAGTTAGGAAATGTTTCTGTTGCTTTTATATTCTGGAAGAGATTGTCAAGGATTGGTATCATTTTTTCCTTAAATATTTGGAAGAAATTACTGTCATGTCACTAATGTTTTTTATTGTGGTAATATATATGTAATATAAAATTTACCATTATAACCATTTTTATGGGTACAGTTCACTGGCACATGTGCTAAAGGCACTACATCTGAAAAATATGTAAGAATTAATCAATTAAATGTGTTTAAAACACAAATCACAACACTTGTCTTAATTTCTTGATTGTTGCTTGAGGCTAAACTTGCAATGTTCTTGTCTCTGTTCCAGCAGTTTCGTCAGTAACATGGAACAACGAAATCAAACCTCTTTTTCAGAATTTGTCCTCCTGGGACTCTCAGAAGGGACAGAACTGCAGCCCTTGGTCTTTTGGCTGTTCCTGTCCATGTACCTGGTCACCCTCATTGGGAACTCGCTCATTGTCTTGGTTATTATCACTGATTCACACCTGCACATCCCCATGTACTTCTTCCTCTCAAACCTGTCCTTTTCTGATATCTGTTTAACCTCCACCACCATCCCAAAGATGCTGTTGAACATGCAGACACAGAGCAAAGTCATAGCCTATGAAGCCTGCCTCAGCCAGATGTACTTTTTCATGCTTTTTGGAGCATTAGACAACTTTCTCCTGACAGTGATGGCCTATGATCGGTTTGTAGCCATCTGTCACCCCCTCCACTACACAGTCATCATGAACCCCAAGTCTTGTGGCATCCTGCTTCTGGCATCCTGGTTATTGAGTGTTCTGGAGTCTTTGTTACAGGGCTTAATGATTTTGCGCCTGTCTTTTTGTACGGAGTCAGAAATCCCTCACTTTTTCTGTGAATTCATTCAGGTGGTCCCCCTTGCTTGTTCTGACACCTTCCTCAATGATCTAGTGATGAATTTTACAAGTGGACTTCTGGGTTTTATTTCACTCACTGGTATCTTTTTCTCTTACTCTAGAATTGTTATCTCCGTTTTCAGAATTTCATCAGCTGGGGGCAAGTATAAAGCATTTTCCACTTGTGGGTCTCACCTCTCAGTTGTCTCCTTGTTCTATGGTACAGGCCTTGGGGTGTATCTTAGTTCCACTGCCACACAAAACTCCAGGGCAAGTGTCATGGCTTCAGTGACATATACTGTGGTCACACCCATGCTGAACCCTTTTATCTACAGTTTTAAAAACAAGGATATAAAGCAGGCCCTAAAAAAATTCTTCAGCTGAGAAACATTCTCTACATACAAGATCCTGTTTCAGAATTGGTCGTTCATCATAAAGGCTTGAAATCCTGGAAGAACCAAGTCATGGTACTTTTCTCAACTTGCAGAAAGATATCAGCATTTATATCATTTCCATGGTGCATTCTCTTAGTTTTTCATGCTTAAAAACTATTTCTTGGGGAATGACGTCAGCTTCATGGCGGAGTGAGCTTTCCCGTGAATTCATCCCCTGACAAGATACAACAAAAGGAACAGTCACAGACCAACAACGGAATCTCAGACAGTGAAAAGCTAGAGCGGAAAGATCCACACTGCCACACATCTGAGAGTGGAACGTGCTGTGCCCCTGGAGGAAGTGGGGAGAGGTAAGGAGAACTCCTCTCCCTCCCCATCAGAGCAGCGATCCCGGTCAGCGCGGCTCCCAGAGATGGGGGAGGGGCGGCCCTTGGCTGGGAAACCGTAGCTCTTCAGACTCTCTCAGCCAGTGAGAAACTCCCGCACAGAGGACTCAGAAGAGCCACAGGGCTATCATCAACATCTGAGCACCCCAGACAGTGGATAAAGAGGGGCCAACGAGAAGCCTCCCATGTCAGGGACCCAGAGGGCAAAAGAGAGAGCCCCACCCCCACCCCACAAACCGGACACTGCAGATCAACCGACCAGACCAGACCTAGCGATCCGCAGCAGACCAGACCAAGAGATCCATGACAGACCAGACCAAGCTATCCGCGGCAGACCTGATCAAATGACCGGACCCATGGATCGTAGCAGGGGAAAAAAAAAATAAAACAGAAAACAAAACTGCGGATCACAGCAGAAAAACCGGGCAGAGCTCAGGGGGCTTAGACTACACAGCCCTTTACCACCAGACAGTGGTGGCAGGTGGAAATTGCAACCAGAGATTTCCAGGATGAGGAAAAACAAAACCAACACAGGAACCACAATGCAAAAATATATGAAATCACCAGACCAGAAACAAAATGACAAGCACCCAGAAATCAACCTTGAAGACACAGAAATCCATAATCTAAATGACAGAGATTTCAAAATAGCTATCATAAAAACACTCAACGAAATACGAGACAACACAGA